ACTGGGAAACATGACCGATCGTAACTTGCCCCTGCATTTCTGGAGGCTCTTGGATCTTACGAAAAGAGTCAGGAATAAGTTAGGAGAATGAAAGAAAGGATTCGTCTAATTCCGCAACTGATGTTTGAGTTTATCAAATCCCTGTGAAGACATTTACCAGCTGTTTTGAACAGAGCACGAGCAGGTTTTCCTCAACAGAAACAATAAGGCGGTCTGAAAGTCAACCATAACTGGATTCTGGCTCCTTTTCTCAATTTTTTCTGCCTTTCTCAAACTGCTCCACACCCATAGAGGACGAGTTTTGAAGGCCTTGAAGGGGCTGCACTATTTCAAGAGATTGCCATTAACCCATGGCGACAGTGGAAACCAGTCGGCCTGATATAGTCATTTCTTTGCGCAATGGGAGCAAGTTAAATCTCGTCCAATCACCCCTTATATGCCATTCCAGTTACGGTGATCTCGTACACCTCCACTTCCACTCCGATGTACCGCTCTACATCAACACTTCCGCTTTTCAACCTAAAAAGGGTTCCTCAAAATTATCTTCAAGCTCCATTTCAGCTGTATATCCTCCTAATTACTCTACATTTCTAGTTCTTTTCCCTGTATGGGAATTCAATAATGACTTATTTCCATAAGCGGAATTGAAGTATTGATGTTTGTTGACTTTATGAAATTTTCAGAAGGAAGACCTTGATAGACGTGGTTATTCTTTCCTCACGCCTGAACAATTGGATCTTGTGTACGGTCCAAAATCACCATTCAATGATACCGTATTGCATAAAAAGTTCCTCAAACTACGCCGATTACATGACGAGGCCGATCCTCATCATCTTATCGAAAAAGAGTAAGTTGTAACGTATCTTGAGCATTATAGACCAAATATTGAATCTGTTCACTCTGAAATTCAGTGGGGGACGCCTTACATCTCTAAAATGAAGTGCTAAAGTGCAGAGAAGGAGGGGGTAGTTGTCTTTGTGGGTCTGTAACGGTGATAAGAAACACTTTTCAGCCAAGGGACTGTGGTGTTTTACTTCAGGCTTGGGCGGAGTCGGCCCTTTGGGGGTTTGAGTGCTCTTACTCTTCAATAAAATTGAGACAGGGGTCAACTGATTGTTCGAATCTTTCCACCCCAGCTTTTTGCACGAGATAAAGCTGACAGACCGAACCAGTCATCGAGCACTTTGTAAATAGTTTTTAGGCAAAACTTCCGTTTGCAATATTGTTGTATACATTGTAAAAGAAAATTTTCAAATACAATTCAGCATCCGTGCCCTTGCGGAAGCGAAGAAGTTCCGATCGGAGCGTCGAAAGCAAGTCATTACGGAAGTTTTCCCTCCCTTCGTACAAACCCCATTCTCAAAACCTGGCGATCCCATATTGGTTATCGAAGCCCTGTCACCTCTGTTGCTCACATCAATCGTATTGTCCCCGACTATTCTTGGAGCTGTCGTTCTTTCACCTTGGACATTTGTACCACTTGTGCTTGCACCTCGTGTAATTGCCCCCGTCATTCTCAGTCCCATCAACTTTGACCCTGTAATCCTTTCACCACTAATAATGCATCCATTCATTCTATCACCCGGTGTGTTCAACCCTATCGTTCTTTCACCTCTAGTCCTTTCACCATTCATTCTTTCTCCTCAAGTATTGTCACCCATCATTCTATCACCCTTGGTGCTTAATCCTTCTGTCTATAGTCCTAAGGCCGTAACAACTTGGCTTCTATCACCATACGTTCTCACACCACCTATTTGTTCTCCATCACTCCTTTACGCTTTGATATTATCTCCGTTTGCACTTTCTCCTCTTGTTCATACTAAGCTGATATCGACGGCTGTCATTCTTTCCCCCAGTTGGCTCTCTTAAATATTCAAAAGGAGATTATGTAGCTTTCAAGTGAACCCAGAGTGAAATCACTGCTTAGCATACAAAACAGCGGAGAGCATTGCGTCTTATTTGTCAATGATGTCCATGACTGTCCTGTTGTTGCTAAAATATGACAATTGTGCTGGGGTATAACCATCACAAAATTCTCTTTTATGGATCTGTGGATGTGGAATCTGTGCAATATTAGACTGACAAATTTGTCGTTTATCCCCATATCGTTTCTCGATTCTCAGCGAGTACTACATTTTATTCTAGGAGCACTATTTTCAATGAGTTTTCTACTGTTTTCCCTGATATGTCTGTATAAAGTACCAATAAATTTGAATAAAATTGTTATTCAGTGTTCAAAGACGGACTATTTATTGATCTTCTGGGAAGATTAAATCGCAGACCTGTTTTCACTTCATATTTCTACAAGTACTGGCTGCTGGGTAGAGTTAAAACAGCGGAGAACATTGCGTCTTATTTGTCAATGATGTCCATGACTGTCCTGTTGTTGCTAAAATATGACAATTGTGCTGGGGTATAACCATCACAAAATTCTCTTTTATGGATCTGTGGATGTGGAATCTGTGCAATATTAGACTGACAAATTTGTCGTTTATCCCCATATCGTTTCTCGATTCTCAGCGAGTACTGCATTTTATTCTAGGAGCACTATTTTCAATGAGTTTTCTACTGTTTTCCCTGATATGTCTGTATAAAGTACCAATAAATTTGAATAAAATTGTTATTCAGTGTTCAAAGACGGACTATTTATTGATCTTCTGGGAAGATTAAATCGCAGACCTGTTTTCACTCCATGTTTCTGCAAGTACTGGCTGAAGGGTAGAGTTTTTGCAAGGATTCGATGACGGAGCGTTCCGTAGTAGCCCCTGTTGCTGATAAAGTGTCGTCTTCTTGTGGGGACGGTCATTTGCTAGGTCAAGAACAGAGCCTGTAAAATCGGTCTGAACTTCGACATTATTCCTGGAAGTACTGGTGCAGCACAGGGAGCAGTGTATGATGAATTTAACGAATACTAAGAGATCTACGAGTCAGAAATATAAAGGATAAGGTCTTTTGATTGCGGGGATCTCCCAATCTTTTGTGGATTTGCTTTAAAAGAGTGTTTCCGTAGAGAGCGAAAGGACAGCCCAGCTAAGAAAAGCTCAAAGAGTAAGATGGAGTAGCAGACTATTGGTCTGTAGCTACAACAACCACAGAGCTTATTCAACTCTGTTTATACCCAAAGAGTTGTATGGATTTGGGTAGTGTTGTACTCGTCTTTTAAACTGCATTGTAGCCTGTAATCAAGTGAATTACGTGATATTGGGTCTAAGACACTGTCGTTTGTCGTTTTTAGACGACATCGATATTTATTAATGTTTGTAGGCACATCATACCGTATCAAGCACAAATACTGACCGGAATAAGGCTAAAACTACCCGTAGAACACGCTTTCACTAGAAAATTGCTACTTTGAAGGACCGTAGTGAGCTAGAATATTGGACTCGTTCAATGAACACATATATACCTACTCTATGAACTTTCAAGCGATGCAGCCTATCTCTATATATACTTACAAGTGGAGGGAATGAGTTCAGTAAGTCACTTCATGTCACTGCTCTCAAAGCATCGAAACTAGGTCACCTATCTCTGTCAAAACCTTCCATCTCCTACAAATCGGGGTATGGGGAGTTCTGTCACTGCGAGCTGACCTAGTTTCGAGAATCGACAGTAATAGCTCGGGTCGGCCCATAAACGCAACTGAAGGAACGGCTTCGAGACAGAATAAGTTGCATGACATGAATACGTTTTCAACCGATCATCGTAGGATTGAGGCGATTCTGGACGAGTCTGCTCATAATCTTGTCCTTGCCAACGAGGAACAGATTCACGTTAGGTACCACATGACCGTATTGCATATGTCGATCGGCCATGAAGTTCAGGTATTTGAAGGTGTATGGAGCACGTTCGTTTGGATCTGATAACGTCAACGGGAATTCCATAGCGCTGTTCAGGATACCGTTACCATTTCCTGAAAGTGTCGTATATGTATAGTCTTCTTTATCTATGCGTAGGTCCAACTTACCTTTCAACATCAACCGTCCATCAAAATCGAACAATTCATTAACGCCCGGAATAGGAAGATCCAAGTGTCCTGAAATTTGTCAGTAAAATCATTTTGAGAGCCCATGCATGTATAGAGAGAGATACTCGACTGAACATTTACAACTAAGACCTTACGAGTATTGTAAAGTGTGATGCTTGATGTAATGCAATAATCAAATGTTTAAAGGCATAGTTCACGATAATTCGAGGGGCGAGAAAGCCCCGCTTTTCCTCCCCTCGTTCGATGTCAACTCTGACGAGACGAGACAATACAGATTGCAACTATTCGTTCTAGGACCGACACCACAATCAGCTGATCGCCGAGTGATGAGGCGACGTTCTTCTCCCATTCTTTTTTCCCCTGTTATTCTTTTTGCTCTAGCGATCGCTTAATTAGTTTCCTATTAATTTTTTCGAAGCCTTTTTTCACTTTGGAAACACCGATTCACGCAATTTCTTCACCATCATCGCACTATTATCGATCTAGTCTTCCACTTTTCATCATAATCTGGATTACCCAAAATTATCGTAAACTGTGCCTTTAAGTGCACATCTGGTTCCTACACTAAGTCAACAGTATTTGTATTTACTTCACAAAGCTGAGAACTGCAGAAATCCTTCAAAACTTCTCGAAAAAGTATTGGAACCTGAGATTTCTTTGATCTTGGAGTAATCGTACTCAGCGCCGACAGAGAATGCTGTTAGGAACGGTTGATGCATACCATCGTTGCGGTCAAGAGGGACATCAGCAAATTGATCAAAATTACGTCGAACTTGGAGGTCGTGGTTATTTACTCCCTAAATGGTGGCATTCGCTGAAGCCTTTTTGAAGGAGTGCCGGGAGAAAACTCACATTCACTGCAAATCCTGTACCCCAGGAGTCCACCAGATCTTCATTGAATACAGCGGCAAGTGCATGCGTGAAAGGATTGAAGGCTGATCTGAAGGAATTGAACCATCAAGGCAGAATCACCTACTTGGTTACAACTTTTATAAGGGTCAAAGCCCTTCGATTAAAATATACCAGTTTTTGAAAAATATTTCAAAGGAGAAAAAAGCAAAAATGAAAGCCATCAAATCTTTTCTACAGGTCCCTAAGCTGTTCATTGGAATGTGTGAAGAATTCCGCCAACAACGTATAACAACAATCAGCTAGGCAAGAGATTTCAGGAATAATTTCGACCCGTACCTTCCACTGAAGTCGGCTTTTTGACCGGGCAAGTGCACATCTGGAACGCTCTGGGGCTTTTCACCAGCCTGGAAAATGCTGAAAGAAGTAAACAAACGTGAACTTTCATGATTAGCTAAGGCTAACACAAAATGTCCTCACTTTATCACCAGCTATGTAGAGATTTGGGAAGAATGGCCCTGAACGTTCATCGGTCATACCTGTCGGAAGTTGTAGCAAGCCTAGACCACGTGGGCGATCTCGTATGAATGGCGCTGAAAGGTGAATTGTAAGTGCGGTCGAAAATTTTGTGTTTCAGGAAGTTCAATGCCTCACCTCTAGCAACAACATGATAAGGAAGAAACGGAAGTAGAGTGATCAGTATGATCATATTGACAGCTAATGATAGGCTACGGATCGAATGGTGGATAGGATGATACCGATGATCCCGGAGAAAGGGTCGACGACGAAAGTTCATTTGATCCAGTTCACCAATCCGCCGTTTTGAAGACAATGCCTAACAGTCATTCAAACATCTTTACTCGATTTCTCCGTTCCTTGTCGCCTAAATGGCTAACTCACTCGAATATCTGCTTTGTCATAATGCTATAAATAGCTCAATGTATTTGCCATCATTAATTTTGATGAATTTGATTAACAAAGTTTCTTACTCTCATAATGCTGTGCGAATAATCTAAAAAATCGAAATTGTGAAATGACAAGAAACCCTACTCTTTCTTTTGAACCGCTTTTGATCGAACTCTGAACGAACATCGAAATAACAGGACGCCGCCTTTGTACTACTCTGCACCATCCCTTCCATTATACCACTTCAACTAGTTACCTAAAAATTGGTCTTTAACGTCCATTCTATGGACAACTTATTCGCTACTTCTGAAGTTCGTATCGCAACTATCGCAAGTCGGAATTTAAAGTCTCGTGAATGTATGATACAGTAATCTCCCAGTGTTCATGGTGTGATGCTCGTATGTATGTGTGTGCCAGAATTTGTATCGGCCCTGGCTGATGCAGTTTATGATGTCTCATACCTTCAACCCCCATTCCATCTTAATAGATTTGTGACCGTTTTGCTCCTAACAACGGCGGGTGATATCATTTATTCTGCGACTCAGCATATTTCCCAACTTCCCTCTTGCTTTAACCATGTGACCATAATTATCACAAACTCATATTCATAACTTTTGTCAGCATACTTTTCTGTCTTTTACTAGTAAGTGGACGAAGTCGGTGTTTTGCCAGGAACCGATCTATCATATGCGTACCTGGGATTGAATCTCGGGTTCATATCATTCCATTGCAACCAGTTTCTGCATGCATGAGTCTAAAGGCGCTCTTAATGCAAAAACTCTTTATTATTATTATTGCTGCGAACAAAAAGGCGACAAAAAGTCTCAATATTCGGTGTTATAATTCGGTGATAAGAGGAGTGAGGTGGTGGCAGCAGTGAGTGGATGTTTAGCCGATCATGGTGGGATTAAGACGATTCTGTACAAGTCTGCTCATAATCTTGTCCTTGCCGACGAGGAACAAATTCACATTCGGTACGACATGTCCGTACTGCATATGTCGATCGGCCATGAAATTCAGGTACTTGAGAGTGTACGGTGCACGTTCGTTCGGATCAGATAACGTCAATGGGAATTCCATGGCGCTGTTCAGAATACCATTGCCCAAACCTGAATGAGGACTAAAGTTAGGAGTACGGAAATTTTGCATGAGTTCTGCGAATGGTTCCAGCTCCATCTAGAGCTGCAAGGAGAACGGCAGAAAGGAAATGGAGCTAGATCAAAGAAAGGAAAAGGCAATGAAGCTCTCAGTAGTGGTGCATGTCCCACTGATTCTTAATCCACTCTTCGATGCTCTGACCCGAAAGGCTCGAATTGGGAGGAGGCAGAATGAAAATGGGGCTCCCGTCGCATAGCACGCTAAGGAAAAGGCTGCTTGATGTCACCCTATAAGCTAGTGGACAAAAGAACATTTGGAGCCAAGAGTTTTTCACAAATAACGTTTAGGGACACAAGCTAAAATGACAAGAATTCGACCATTAAGTGGGCCTCATATGTGCTGCGATTTTGTGGTTACCTTTTCTTCAAAGGGGTTGCCCACTCGATTTCTCACGACACCAATGGATCAAGTATGGTCAGACTTACCCTTGGCCCTTACAATGGCTCAATACATGTTGCCAGGGCAAGCAACTCCCCACATATATGCAGTTCCGCAAATAGCAGACTGAAGGAAACAGCATGGTCACTCAAAGATGTGGAAATGAATTTAACGTGGTAAGAGATAAGGGTGGATGTACATTATTACTATTAAGTGTTCTCACTCATTACTGTTCCGTTCCGATAGGAAAGGATTAGTAGTGACTAGCTTGCGCGGGTTGGCGTTAAGGTAGCACGTGGTATCGAATTTCCGTTTGGTGGTCCTGTCGGAATGTTCGAAGAGTTTTCCACATGGATACCGAACATGGTGAAAAGGTCTTCCAGAAGTTTTAGTTACCGAAAGTACTCACCTTTGAGCATAATTCTTCCATCAAAGTCGAATAATTCATTTATACCAGGTATCGGAAGATCAAGATGCCCTTCAAAGACATACCTGATCAGGAGATTTCGTAAAAGAACAAAGGCTAAGATACAAACCTGCCAGTTCTCGTATTTTGCTGAAATCGTATTCTGCACCAACGGCACCAGCGGTAAGAAACGGCTGATAGGATCCGTCATTGCGATCCAGTGGTGCGTCAGCGTATTGGTCGAAATTCCGTCGAACTTGGAGGTTGTAGTTGTTAACACCCTTAACAGTAATTGATGAATATCCTAGGGATCCTGTGGGGATCCTTCTCTGATAACTTGACTGACATTGACGGCAAAACCCGTGCCAAAAGAGTCACTGAGATCCTCATTGAACGTTGCGGCGACCGCATGCGTGAACGGGTTGAAAGCGGATCTGAACAGATGATAAATGACCCTGACAACGAGATACGTTCGAGATTCGAGATGAAATATGAAGGCTCGATCAGCTGGGAAGAAAGCGGTTCGACGCTGTCAATTTTGATCCCTGTTTTTACTTCAGTTCATTTTAAAGTCTGAATTTCGTGCTATCTGAAGAGGAATTCCGTACTGTTGTAGAGCCTGCACGTGCGATCCTGGCACAGAGGTACATAGAGAGCCATTGACATTCCCGAGATAATTTCGAATAGTTGAAACGCCACAGGATTCACAGGTCTTGAACGAACTACATCAGTTTTCATCAATTGGAGTGACCGCCCCTTTGATACCACATTCTTCAGTTAGCATGCTTATGTGCATAATCTGAACGAGCTTTAGGTCTTGCTGGAGCTCCATTTGAAGTCTTTGCCTTCGCAAACCCACTTTGGTTCTTAGAACGAAATAAGCAAGTTCGGCTCTAGTAGATAATCTGCAGGACAAGTACAACATATTGATCCTAGCTCTTTGAGCTAGATAACTGACCTTATCAGAGCCAGCCTTAATCGTAAGAAAGAGGATTACTCTTTACGATATTCTAAGAAAACTGGATAATTATGTATCTAACCAAGAGTTGGTGCAAGTTTAGAAATCCAGGAGAAATGGAGGGATTTGTTGGCCTGAGAGCGCGTCTCGATCCGAGATTCAACCCGCGGAACAGGGGTGGTGATGCTCACTTGCCACTACACCACTCACACCCTGTGAGAACATAATCTATTCCCAAGGATCATATGAATCAATGTAGTCACTAACCGTCCACTGAAGACGGCTGTCTGACCCGGAAGATGCACATCTGGAACCGAAGCTGGCTTCTCTCCTGCCTGCAAAATGTTCGTCACGTTATGACTGT